TGAGGAGGACATAAATAGGCTTCAAAGAGTTATAGACAGGTTAAAACAGTGGGGAACAATTTGGTAGAGGAGTATTATAAAGAGAAATTGTAATTCACTTTTGTTGTGAGAACAGAAATGCAAAAGATTTTTTAAGAGTCATGAAACTAATCAATATTGATGCTCAAAGAGTCTTGGATATAATCATACAAGAGACACACACTGGTAGTATGCAGGGACAGCAAGCAATCAGGGAAGCAAATGGCATGTTGGCCTTTATCACAAGAGAACTAGAATTTAAAAATAAAGAAGTCTTTCTACAGTTATATGGGATTTTGAAGAGATCATAGCTGGAATGCTGTACTCAGTTTTGGGTTCCATATTTAAAGAGGTGGGAGATTGAAAATTCATTAGATTCCCTAGGATGAGAGGGTTGTCCTATAATGGGAAGCTGCATAAATTGGGCCTATGTTTCCGAGCACTTTGAAAAATGATAGGTGATTGTAATGAAATATATGGAGCAATGAAGAAAATTGACAAGGTAGATACTGAGATATTGTTTCTTCTGATTGGCAAATCAAAAATAAGATGACTTAGTTTCAGGATAAGGGGTGGACAGAGATGATGAAAAATGTCTTCATTTAAACGGTTGTGAATTTATGGAATTTTTAGTCCAGTGGGATTAGATGCAGTATCATTGAATGTAATTAAATCCAAAGTAGATAAATCATTGATCTGTCTGAGTAAAGGAATATGGGGAATCAGTAGAAAAGTGGAGTTGGAGGTCAATATCATTCATGGGTTTTTTTTCTTTCAATCATAGGATGTGGGCATTGCCGGCTGGGCCAGTTTTCTCGCCTGTTCCTAGTTGCGCTTGAAAAGTTGGTGGTGAGCTTACTTCTTGAACTGCTGCAGTCCATGTTCTGTAGGAAGACCTACAATGTTGTTAGGGAACAAATACAGAGTTTTGACCCAGTGACAGTGACAGAGCAATGATATATTTCCAAGTCACAATGATGAAGGGAACTTGCAGGTGGTGATGTTCCCATGTATCTGCTGTCCTTGTCCTTTTAGATGGAAGTGGTTGTAGGTTTGGAAGGTGCTGTCTGAGGATCTTTGGTGAATTTCTTCTGTTCATCTTGTAGATACCACATATCACTGTTACTTAGCATCAGTGGTACAGAAAGTGGATGTCTGTGAATATAGTGCTAATCAAGTGGGCTGCTTTGTCCTGGGTAGTGACAAGCTTCTTGAGTGTTTTTGGAGCTGCACTTATCCATGCAAGTGAAAAGCATTCAACCACACTCCTGACCAGTACCGAGTAGATGGTGAGCAGGCTTTGGGCAGTCAGGAGGTGAGTTACTTGTTGCAATAGTCCTAGCCTCTGGCCTGCACTTTGTAGCCACAATATTTATAAGGTGAGTTTGGTTGAGTTTCTGGTCAATGGAACACTCTGGATATTGATAGTTGGGGGCTCAGTAATGGGAATGCCATGGAATGTGACGGGCAGTACATGGATCATGTATTATTAGAGATAGTCATTGCCTGACATTTGTGTAGTGTGAATGTTACTTGCCAGTTTCTAGCCCAAGCCTGTTGCATTTGCACATGGACTGCTTCAGTACCTGAGGAATGGTGAGTGGTGCTGAACATTGTGCAATCATCAGCAAACATCTGACCTTATAATGGAAGAATGGCCATTTATGAAGCAGCTGAACAAATTTGGGCCTAGGACACTACTCTGTTGTAGTGCTGAATGGTGAAGTGGGCGCACCAGACTGTATCCTCTTTATGCTGTACTCAAAAATTTTCCAGTGGCCAATGTCCCAGCTTCCATTGTAGAACAGGTAGAAAGCACACAGCATCTGAACTGAAGTTGAAGCTCTGAGTGAGATTTTGGTATTCATGCTTGTTGTCATGCAAAACTAATTAATGCCTTACCGGTTCTAAGTGCTGCCATTGCAACATGTCGGGTTTCACAGTAAATCCGCAATCGTCCATCTCCTTTTCCCAAGGTTCTCACTAAAAGCTCAATGGCAAATACTGCCTTCTCATGAGAGCCTGGTTATGTGTTTCCAACGGACAATCATGAATTTGGCAACAAACTCTAGTGAGTTTCATACCCACCCTGCAAATGGTAATGTTGTCCCTCTTGATCCATATCCTGGTGATGGCCTCCATGCATAAATCTACTTCTTGGTCTCTATTCAGTCTGTAACTTCCTCTTAACCCCTTTACTATTTAAATGGCTATGGTAGACTTCTGTATTTCTTTCTTATGATAATTGCAAGTCACTTCTCACATTTTTAGCTTTTCCAGTTCTTTTTTCAATTTTCCATATTTAGCCTGATAGTCCATTATATCATCGACCAAATGTTTGTCATAAGTATATTTTTTCTCCTTCATCTTTATCTCTATCTTTCTTGTCATCCAGGGAGATCTGGATTACTTGAAGAGGTAATGGAACTTCTTGTAATATATCATCCAGGTCTTCAGCGCTACATCTTGATGGCACTGTGTCATATAAGTCTAAGCTTCTTGAGTAGATTTGAGGCTTGGGTTGTGGGTGCTATGGTTGGTTCACTCACCAGGCTGGTTCGTTAGTTTGCAGATGTTTCATTACCCTGCTGGGTAACATCATTAGTGCAGCTTCCGATGAAGCGCTGTTGTGTTTTCCCACCTGGTATTTAAACTTTGGGGTCCATTGGAGTTGATTACCTCATTTCTAGTTTTTCTTTGCAGTGGTGTATATATAGGGTCTAATTCTACGTGTTTATTGATGGCCTTCTTTGTGGAGAACGAAGCCTCTAGAAATTTCCGTGCTTGTCTCTGTTTGGCCTGTCGTAGCATCCTGATGTTGCCCCAATCGAACTGGTGGTTCTCCATATCTGTGTGAATGGAGACAAGTAAGAATTGATCATGTCTTTTTGTTGCTAGTTGATGTTCACGTTGATGTTCTATTGATGTTCTGAAGAAGGGTCACCGGACCCGAAACGTTAACTCTGTTTTCTCCTCCACAGATGCTGCCAGACCTGCTGAGCTTTTCCAGCAACTTTGTTTTTGTCCTTGATGTTCATGTACTCTTGTGGCCAGTTTCCTTCTTGTCTGTCCAATGTAATGTTTGTCACAGTCCTTGCATGGAATCTTGTATCACACGTTGGTTCTGTCCATAGTGGGTAAGGGGTCTTTGGTTTGTGTTAGCAGTTGGCATCAAGAACATATCCAAACTGACCACAAGATTCCTACGACCATTGGGCATCAGAGTGGCACACAAACCTATGTCAACCCTACGCCAACTGTTAACTTGAACAAAACACCCCTTACCCACTATGGACAGAACCAGCGTGATATACAAGATTCCATGCAAGGACTGCGATAAACATTACATTGGGCAGACAGGAAGGAAACTAGCCACAAGAATATATGAACACCAACTAGCAACAAAACGACACAACCAATACTCACTCGGCTCCATCCACATGGATAAGGAGAACCACCAGTTCGATTGGGGCAACATCAGGATCCTCGGACAGGCCAAACAGAGATAAGTACGGGAATTACTAGAGGCCTGGTTCTCCACCAAGAAGGCCATCAATAAACCTGTAGAATTAGACCCTATATATACACCACTGCAAAGAAATACTGGAAATGAGGTAATCAAATCCAACAGAGCCCAGAGATTAAATAACAGGTGGGAAAACACGACATTGCTTCATCGGAGGCTGCACTGATGATGTTACCCAGTAGGGTAATGAAAAGTCTGCATCATATAAGTGTGTCTCTGAAGGGCTCCTGGGTCTCCTGTGTGCACAGGATATCTCTCCTCCTGATCATCTCCACCATGCAGACCTCCAGTCCCAAAATTTGATAACCTTGGAGTCCACCCTTGCCCCATTGTGCCATTTTTCACTGTTTCCCAGTCAGACTTATTTCCTGCAAAACTGCCAACTCCTACTATGTCAGTCCATCATCACTTCACCTGATGAAGGAGCAGCGCTGCAAAAGCTTGTGATTTCAAATAAACCTGTTGGACTATAACCTGGTGTTGTGTGACTTCTGATTTTGTTTACCCAAGTCCAACACCAGGGCCTTTACATCACAACTCCTACAACAGACAATATTCATAGGTGTTTAAGATATGTAAGCTGGCTTTAATTGGTGCTCAGTGGTATGATTTGCAGCTCCTTGGCGATATGTACAAGCCTTAAAACAGTACATTTAGTAAATGAGAGATAGTAGGAACTGCAGATGCTGGAGAATCCTATGATGCTGCTTGGCCTGCTGTGTTCATCCAGCTCTGCACGTTTAGTAAATGCACTGGTGGATACTTTGAAATAAACAGGCATCATAAAGTTGTGAAAGCAAAAGGTGCTGGAGATCACAGTGGGTCAGGCAGCATCCATGGAGAGAAAGGTGAAGTGGAATGTGGAGGGGGTAGCATTGATACAATATGGGGCGGGGGTGGGGGACGCTGCTGGTGGTTAATGGAGTGCGGAGGTGCGAAAGGATGTTGCCATTCTGTGCGATCAAAGGACAGGTAACTCACATAATTCCCAGCGGCTACCAAATTTGCTACATATCGCCTATCTCATTTTAATCTTTTTATCGATTTTTAACTGATTTATAAACGAATTGATTTTTATTGATACAAAAAGTAGTCAAATATTGTTGCGAGTATAAAGTCATGTGCAGCCTCGACCGTTTTCCTTATGCAGGAGGACAAAAGTGAAAGTTGTGCACAGGCTGAAGAGTGGAAGTGAAAGTAGACTTTACACTTCAGGTCTGTTGGAATATTACAAGGCAGCTTTCCTGTTTCGTCAATTTCAAATTTAATACAATATCCCCGCAACTCTTTGGAATTAATGCAACATCACGTTTGGAATTACATAAATGTGCACGTTGATGTGGACAAAGGGAGACACCTCTGTGGGGTGAGATTTGAGCTGAAATGTTTAATCTAAGTTAAATAATACTGTTTTCCAGTGTTTTGTGCAGTGAAAGTAATATGACGAGATTCCTTGTTCATTTTAACATACGTCTAGTTTTATTTTGTATTTGTGATTCAGTATTTGATAAGTATTAAGAGTTACCGATGTCTATTTTACTTCGTCTGGAGCAAAACGGAAAAGTGATTACTATCGATGGGTCAGGATCCATTCCTCTTGAATGTACAAAATGTTGTACCTAGTTGGTGATTAGGAGTGAAGCAAAATTAAGATTAACACGCAGAGAATAAGACAGATATAAGAAGAATGATATTTTAAAAGTTACATTTTTGGGAAAACATCTAGAAATGCGTAATTTGAACAAATTTGTATTATTTTCATTTAGACTTTATTTCCTTTCGGTTTCACTTTCTGTGTTCGATGCTTCCACACCATTCTGAGCGGATATATTCTATTAAGATTCCACATTCCCCGTACGACATTACAATGTCCAAATTTCTGTGGTGAAGTCAACGAAATAATTAAGCCCTCAAACATATTGTTTCCTGCACCTTACATTCTGCCACAGCGTGACCCTGCAGATTTGTCGTTACATCAGCTTCTGGTTTTCAGTGCCTTCTTTGTTTAAGACTGAATTAAGTCTCCATAACAGTAGACTCAGATCTAAAACTTAGAGCTTCAGCTTGTAACATATCGGGAATACAACCTACTCTTGCATATCACCCCTGTCTATATGTAGATAAAAGATAATTATCAAAAATTTAATGGATAGATCCAACTAAACTTGGTACATACATATGCTATGACCCAAGGAATTTCTGATTAGTTTCCAGCAGGGCTATGGATGGGTAGTTTTTAAAAGATTTGCTAACATTGACAGGTAGGGCAGATTGGTTTCTTTTAGAATGTTCTGGGCTGTTTAATTTAGAATTTTGTTGATGTTTTAGAACATTGTGGATTGACTCAGTTGCTGTGGTGCATTTTATCACATCATCAAAATGTGAGCAGAGTAGGTTCCTTTATTTCTTTATTCCTTCACAGGATGAGAGCATTGCTGGCTAGGTAGCATTTATTGCCCATCCCTAATTGCCCAGAGGGCAGAGTCAACCACACTGCTGTGGGTCTGGAGTCACATGTAGGCCGGACCATGTAAGGATGGCAGTTTTCTTTCCTACAGGACATTAGTGAACCAGATGGGTTTTTCGAACAATCAATAATCGATTCACGATTCATCATTAGATTCCTAATTTCAAAAATTTATCAAATTCAAATTCCACCATCTACCATGGCGGGATTCGAACCGTGGACCCCACAACGTTATCTGGGTCTCCCCCATGTTGGTGCCTGTGGATTGTCCTGGAGTCTCCTCAGTGAAATGTAAGCCCTTAATCCAAAATTTTTTCGACTTTGTAGTTAAGGAACATCAATCAGACAAGGAAAAACCCTCACTGAAGAATGATATAATTGTAATAAATTGAGGTAATAAAGTGTGGTGGAGTTATGTGCTGTATTTAGTATCCCCTGCATTTATTTCTAAAATATTCACTTTTTTCAGTCTCCTATAGGTTTTCCTGTGCCATCCATTCCTTCTTCAGTTGAGATAATAGCTACTCTTGGATCTCAGTATAAAGGATAGGTTTAGTGCAGCTGCTAGGAATAATTGGTCCAGACTTTCATTCTTCTTCATTATCACTGCTCAACATATTCGGAGTACAAGATTTTAGCATCGTAAAGGTACCATATGACAAACTGTAGATTCAAAATCCTGGAATTTCCTCCCTAATGGAATTGGGGATTTATCTACAGCACATGAACTGCAGCAGTACAAGAAGGCAGCTCATAATTAGCTTCTCAAGAGCAATTAGAGATAGGCAATAAATGCTGGCCCAGCTAACAACACCCACATCCCACAAGTGAATTTTTAGAAAAGTTATGCACAGTGATGCTAAGCGACAGAGCACCTCAGGCCAGTATCCTAGGCTCAAACATCATCAGCTGCTTTGTCAACAACCTTCATTCCATCATTAGATAAGGATTGAGAGTTGCTCAGTAATTAGCTTCATTCAAAACTCCTTAGAGAATGAACAACTCATTAGAGAATGAAGTAACCAAAAATATTGATGAGGACAGAGAGGTAGACATTGTTTACTTGGACTTTAGTAAAGTGTTTTGTAAGGTTCCACATAATAGACCAATTAGTAAAGTTGGATCACGTTATTCAGGGTGAGCTTGCCAGTTGGATACAAAGATAGTAGGAACTGCAGATGCTGGAGAATCTGAGATAACAAGGTGTAGAGCTGGATGAACACAGCAGGCCAACCAGCATCAGAGGAGCAGGAAGGCTGACGTTTCGGGCCTAGACCCTTCTTCAGAAATGGGGGAGGGGAAGGAGGTTCTGAAATAAATAGGGAGAGAGGGTGAGGCAGATAGAAGATGGATAGAGGAGAAGATAGGTGGAGAGGAGACAGACAGGTCAAAGAGGCGAGGATGGAGCCAGTAAAGGTGAGTGTAGTTGGGGAGGTAGGGAGGAGATAGGTCAGTCCAGGGAGGACGGACAGGTCAAGGGGGCGGGATGAGGTTGGTAGGTAGGAGATGGGGGTGGGGCTTGAGGTAGGAGGAGGGGATAGGTGGGAGGAAGAACAGGTTAGGGAGGCAGGGACGAGCTGGGCTGGTTTTGGGATGCGGTAGGGGGAGGGGAGATTTTGAAGCTTGTGAAGTCCACATTGATTCCATTGGGCTGCAGGGTTCGCTGCAGGCTCCCCCAGCCGCATCCCAAAATCAGCCCAGCTCATCCCCTCCTCCCTAACCTGTCCTTCGTCCCACCTATCCCCTCCTCCCACCTCAAGCCGAACCCCCATCTCCTACCTATCAACCTCATCCCACCCCCTTGACCTGTCCGTCCTCCCTGGACTGACCTATCTCCTCCCTACCTCCCCACCTACACTCACCTTTACTGGCTCCATCCCCACCTCTTTGACCTGTCTGTCTCCTTTCCACCTATCTTCTCCTCTATCCATCTTCTATCCGCCTCCCCCTCCCTATTTTTTTCAGAACCTCCTTCCCCTCCTCCATTTCTGAAGAAGGGTCTAGGCCCGAAACGTCAGCCTTCCTGCTCCTCTGATGCTGCTTGGCCTGCTGTGTTCATCCAGCTCTACACCTTGTTATCTCAGTTGGATACAAAATTGACTTTACAGTAGGAGATAGAGAGTGGTGATGGAGGGTTGTTTTTCAGACTGGAGGCCTGTCACCAGCAGAGTTCCATAAGGATCGTAACTGGGTCCATTTCTGTTTGTCATTTACATAAATAATTTGGATGTGAATGTAGGAGGCATGGTTAATAAACTTGCAGATGATACCAAAATTGGTGGTATAGTGGACAATGAAGAAGGTTATCTAAGATTACAAATAGATCTTGATCAATTGGGTCAATGGACTGAGGAGTGGCAGATGGAGTTTAATTTGAATAAATGTGAGGTATTGCATTTTGGTAACACAAACAAGGACAGAAATTATACAATTAATGGTAGGCCACTGGGTAGTGTTGTAGAACAGAGAGACCTAGGGGTTCAGGTGCACAATTCTTTGAAATTTCCACGTTAGGGAGACAGGGTGGTTAAGAAGGCGTTTAGCATGCTTGCCTTCATTGCTCAGAACTTTGAGTGTAGGAGTTGGGACATAATGTTCAGGTTGTACAGGACATTTGAGACCTCTTCTGGAGTACTGCCTGCAGTTCTGGTTGCCCTGCTATAGGATGTATAGTATTAAACTAGACGGGGTTCAGAAAAGATTTACCAGGACGTTGCCGGAATGGAGGGTTTGAGATGTAAAAATAGACTGGATAGGCTGGGATCTTTTTCACTGGAATGTAGGAGGTTGAGGGCTGACCTTATTCAGGTTTATAAAATCATGAGGTACACAGATAAGGTGAATAACATGGGTTATTTCCCCAACTGGGGAAGTTCAAAACCAGGGCACACATTTTTAAGGTGAGTGGAGAAAGATTTAAAATGGACATGAGAGGCAACTTTTTTACACAGAAAGTGGTTCGTGTGTGGAATGAACTTCCAGAGAAAGTGGTGGATGCAGATACAGTTACAATGTTTAAAAGACATTTGGATAAGTTCATGAATAGGAAAGGTTTGGAGGAATATGGGCCAAGTGCAGGCAGGTGGGACTAGTTTAGTTTGGGAACATGATCGGTGTGGACTGCTTGGACCGAAGGGTCTGTTTCCATGCTGTATGACTCCATAAGATCTAGACAACATTAAGGCTTGGGTTGATAAGTGGCAAGAAATATTTGAATCACAGATGCTCAGCAATGATAATCTTTCAGAAGTGTTAACTAGAGAAGTCACATAAATGCTGAGCTTACAAGAACAAACGAGATGTTGAGCGCTGTGTATTGAGTACCTCACCTCATAATTTCATAAAGCCTGTCTACTGTCTGCAAGATACAAGCCAGAAGTGTGATGGAATACATTCCACTTTGCTGGATGAGAGCAGTTCTAATAACGCACACGCAGACCATCCTGAAGAAAACCCAGTTGGTTAACAATCCATCCACCACCTTAAACATTCACTCAGTTTATTATCGCACACTGTGGCTACAACTTGTATCATTTACTGCAGGAACTCAGCCAGGTTCCTTTAACTGCATCTTTCAAACCCATAATGTTTATCCTTTAGCAGGACAAGGGCTGCAGGAATCTGTGAATACCACTACCTAGAGCTCCTCCTCCAAAATATACTTTATTCTGACATGTAAATATATCATTGAGTCAGAATTCTGGAATTGCCACCCAGAATGCAGAGGCTCAAGAGGGCAGCTCACGACTACTTCATCAAAAGCAACTCGGGATGGGCAAATGCTGACCTTGCCGGTGATACACACATCCTCTAAAGAATGAATAAACTTTAAAGGAAAAATGGAATGGGAAATCTCTATAGATTATCTCAATAATAGGTTTGGTCACTAATTTTGGTTCGCTTGCCGAGCTGGTTCGTTAGATTGCAGATGTTTCATTACCCTGCTGGGTAACATCATCAGTGCAGCCTCTGATGAAGCACTGTTGTGTTTTCCAGCCTGGTATATAAACTCTGGGGTCCGTTGGATTTGATTACTTCATTTCCGTTTTTCCTTCACAGTGTTGTATACTGATTCTATGTGTTTGTTGATGGCCTTCTTGGTGGAGAACCAGGCCTCTAGGAATTCCCGTGCTTCTGTCTGTTTGGCCTGTCCTAGGATCCTGGAGTTGTCCCAATCGAACTGGTGGTTCTCCTTATCTGTGTGAATGGAGGTGAATGAGTATTGGTTCTGTCTTTTTGTTGCTAGTTCATGTACTCTTTTGGGCCAACTTTCTTCCTGTCTTTCCAGTGTACTGTTTGTCGCAGTCCTTGCATGGAATTTTGTGTATCACATTGGTTCTGTCCATAGTGGGTAGGGGGTGTTTGGTTCGAGTTAGCAGTTGGCGTAGGGTTGACGTAGGTTTGTGTGCCACTCTGATGCCCAATGGTCGTAGGAGTCTTGTGGTCAGTTCAGATATTTTCTTGATGTCTGGTAGCGTGATGAGTGTGTTAGGGTGTGCAGTATCTTCCTGTTGTTGTTCATTTGATAGGCATCGTCGGATCCAGTTGTTCCGATATCCGTTGACCTTAAATACTTAGTGGAGGTACTCTTCTTCTTTTTGGTGTAGTTCCGGGTTGCTACAGTGTGATGTTGCTCATTTGAGTAGTGTTTTCACACAGCTTCATTTGTGGATGTTAGGGTGGTTACTGTTAAAATTCTGTACTTGGTCAGTGTGTGTGGCTTTTCTGTGTACCTTCAGGAATTCCCCGCTGGCCCTGCGTTCTACCATGACAACTAGGAATGGGAGCTGTTCATTCTTTTCCTCTTCCCTGGTGAATTTGATGCCAGTCAGAGTGTTGTTTATTAGTTGGTGTGTCTCCTCTAGTTTGGTTCATTTGATGATAACGAAAGTGTCATCTACGTATTGGATCCATAGTTTGAGTTGGATTTGCAGAAGGGCCATGCTTTCGAGTCTCTGCATCACCCCCTCTACTATTAGTCTGGAGATAGGTGATCCCTTGGGTGTCCTGTTGATCTGTTCGTAGATTTGGCCAGTGAAGGAAAAGTGGGTCGTGAGGCATAGGTCAAGTAGTTTCAGCATGTTGTCTGTGGAGATGGTGTCACTCGGGTCTCGTTCATTTCGTAGCGTTGCTAGTGTTTCTTTTGCCAGTGGTATGTCAATCGATGTGAATAGGGCAGTAACATCAATAGAGCGCTTCATCGGAGGCTGCACTGATGATGTTCCCCAGCAGGGTAATGAAATGCCTGCAAACTAAGAACCAGCTCGGTGAGCAAACCAACCACAGCATCCACAACCCGAGCTACGCTACAAATCTACTCAAGAACTTTACAGATTTGGTCAGTTGTAACTGCTAGAATTGATTGTGGCATGTGATGCATCTGAATCTTCCTACATGGATGGCTGGTAGTGAGGCCGGGAATTTATAGAGCCAAGGTTATGTTAATTTTTGAAATTCTGTAGACTTAGCCAAAGTGGTTTTTGTCAGACTGAGAAACAAAAATGTTTGGTGATGAAATATTCTAAATGAATAATGTGCTCAAATGTTTTAAGAGTTTGAAGAGGGGAAGATGTTTACAAATAAAATACCAGAGTTTGGATCCTGGATAGCTAATGACAATTATTAATACTAATAATAATATTTTTGAATTGATCAGATGCTGAATGCTGAGGAGAAAATAAGTGATAAAAAATGTAATATATCACGTGAAAATCCATCATTACTTTGAACACCTAATTTCCTACACTTTAATAGGAAGTGCCCAAGGTACTCTAATGCCTGTTCATAATTAAGATTTCTCATTCCTAGTTATCATCCTATGATTCTGATACATACACTCTTAACGGTCTTGACATCTTCCTATGTCAGAATTGCCAAAACAAAATGAAACATCTTCTGGCATAACCAGTAAGTTGTAGAGAGTTAGCGTTATTATGTGCTTACACTTGATATTTTCATCGTATATTTGCTGCCATTATGAATTGCACAAATGTATATGTACGCATCCCAATTTATTTCTGCACTGCATTGCAAAAAAAACAAAATTGCTGCCACACAAAGTCTGATTCCCCACTTGACATAAAATCAGGGACTAGAATTTCCTTATCCTGCGCATGCTGCCACTCACTGGGACACCCACTCAGCCTGGAAGTGGATGTGTATGGAATATCCACAGTGCCTGTTAATGGAAGACACTGTCTTTGAAAACCACATGAATAGCACTATATTTACAAGCTGTATACTTCCAGGTAAATGTAATTCTCAATTTATTTTCAGCTTTGAAAGTCCTGACGTGGCTTTAGTAAATTTACTTATCAATTGATACTGATAGTGGGAATTCAGCAGCTGTAATTTCCATTTTTCTCAACAAATAAAATATTGAAATTATGTGACTGTGATCTCCATCAATAAAACTTGGATGTCTGTCCAACTGTTAGTTGGTTTAGAGTATAACCATTGTTTAAAAAACAACTCAATTAGCTAAATGCTGCTTGTTTTTTCTGTAAGTGCACTTATTTATATTAGCAAGATTTTCCACACTATATCTAATGTTTTGAGATCTTCCACTGAAATTTTGTCAAAATGACAAAAGCATATCTTAATGTCATTGTTATATATTTTTTCCTTTATTCAGTCACAGGATGAGGGAGTCACTTGCTAGGTCATCATTTATTGCCCATCCCCAAGTTAAGAGTCAACTACATTGTTGTGGGTCTGGAGTCACATGTAGGCCAAACCAGGTAAGGATGGCAGTTTCCTTCCCTAAAGGGCACTAGTGAACCAGATGGGTTTTTCCTGACAATTGATTTATGGTCATCATTAAACTCTTAATTCCAGATATTTATTGAATTCAAATTCCACCATCTGCCGTGATAGGATTTGAACCAAGGTCCCCAGGACATTATCTGGGTCTCTGGATTAATAGTTTAGCAATAATACCACAATACCATTACCTCCCCTAGGCAATAATTTCTAAACCACACTAGATATCAAAGCTATTCTTGAGATGGCACCGTACTTTCTGTAGCAACATGTTTGTCTTGTCAGCACAAGCTTACCAATGCAAACTATTTTCCATGAACAAAGCAATATTTTTTCAACGAACTGACAGGTTCAGGTAAGCAAGCCATAACTCTGATGCAATGTACAATTCTGTTGTACACAACCATTTGCCACAGATTGCAGGACTGGAAGGTAACATTTCCAGTTCAACAGCATACAGTATTCCAAGAATCTCATACATTTCTCTAGTGCCTTTAACGTTTTCATTAAATTTTACAGTAAGAATTTAATTAAAATGCAGTAAAGAAGGCAGGAGCTGGCTCACTGCTCTGTAACTGTTAGTCTGGATTTTACAGGACCCTAACCCTCAGCTATTAATGTGATGGTGATTCCAATAGGACTTAAGCAGAATTTTACTGATCCTTAAGAGGCAGAAATAGAGACAGGCGAAACAGTAAAATTGCAGGCCCATTGGGCACTTACTTTTAAACTTAAAAACAGGCCATCTGTCCAACTGATGAATTTCATTCTAAAGAGATGTAGAGAGGTTAACTGGGGAAAAAATGGCTTATTGAGTATAATGTGGAAAAATGTGAGGTTATCCACTTTGGTATGAAGGTTAGAAAAACTAAATCTTATTTACCTGTCAAAAGAACATGCATGAAACAGAAAAGTTAATGTCCAGATATAGGATGTAATTAGGAAGACAAATGGAATGTTGACCTTTTCTACAGGAAGGGTGGCAATATAAAAGTGGAGAAGTCTTGCTACCACTGTGCAGGGCATTTTGTGACCACACCTAGAATACTGTATACAATTTTGGTCTGCTTAATTAAGGAGGGAAATATTTGCATTGAAGGCACTTAAAATAAGTTTCCCTAGGTTGATTGCTAGGATTAGAGGATTGTTTTATGTGAAAGGTTGTGTAGCTTGGGCCTGTGTTTGTTAAGAGTCTAGGAGAATGAGTTGTGACTTTATTGAATGAGTGGTGATCTTACTGAGGAGGCTTGGCAGGATGGATGCTGAGAGGCTGTATGGGACATAGGTTCAGAATGAGACAGGAGCTCATTTTAAGTGATGGTCTTCATTCCCCCGCATTCCAAACTCCATTCATATTTATAATGCCCTCTCCAAACCACCTCATATTCCCCTTTATATTCCTTATGTCATCTCAGATTCCCCATTCTCCTTCCATGCTCTCTATCTCCTATATCTACTCATCCAGTATCCACTATGTACAGGTCTCAGGGGCCATGCAATAGTAATAGGAATCCTTTGAAATGGCTATTAAAAATAACACCTTGAACAGTCTCATAGAGCTATCAGTGAAAAATACAGCCATTCATATTTATTTTTAAAAGTTTTTACCTAACAAAAAATAACTTATATTCCCTTGTGGTCAATACAGTGTTGACTTCAAATCATTAACCATATTCAAGACAGGTAATCGTTCACTGACCTCTTAATACTGTCAATCAAATGTGTGCACAGCCTCTGCTGAGCTAAGAGATTCTGTCCTATTTGAAAGTCATGCTGACCTCAGCTGTCAAAAGAGAAAGACAATGAAGCCTGTTACAATTGCAAGAATGGGTTCAGTATCAAAACCAAATTTGCTGGAAAAGCTCAGCAGGTCTGGCAGCATCTGTGAAGGAGAAAACAGAGTTAACATTTCGGGTCCAGTGAGCTTCCTTCAGAACGTTTGTTTTAAAGAGGCAGAGATAGTAGGAACTGCAGATGCTGGAGAATCTGAGATAA